CCCCCCCCCCCCCCCCCCCCATTTGCTCACTCTCACAAACCCACAGCTGTGTTTTTTTAATGGAGTTCCTTTCTTCAATGAGATTGGAAAATGTGTTTATCATACAGGATCTGGCAGAACAGATACATCCTATTAAACAACAGAGCAGTTACAGAAAGGAGACCTCTTTCTTCAGGAAAAAAGAGCTTTCTTTTCCCCCTCATCTATTTGCACTGCCATAAAAGTGTTCTCAACACAAAAACAGGCCAAAAAAACCCCAATACCTGACTAGCATTTTGGCAAAATTAGGAGCCCTAGGATATGCACCAATATTGATATATGCACTAATATTTTCACTCAGCTTCCACAGGATAAATTCTAAACAGTGTGGTGTAAAAAAACTGCCAGCTGAAACAACGTCTGCACTACAACCACCAACCCTGCTAAGTTGAACAACGGAATCCCTGTTGATAACACTGGAAAATATTTTGACAATGTGTATCAAAGTTACTTGCAGAACATTTGGTTCTGTTCTGCACGTCCATTTCCCAGGCTACATACAAGTTGAGACTGGCTTTCTCCCACATGCTCTCTACATGTATACATACACACGTGCAAACAAAATATACTGACTCACATGGACTGTGCTATTTCCAACAGTACTGCACATTCTCCTGTGCTATGTCTTACTGGCACTTCAGTGGCACTCTGCTCCATCTTTTTATTTCATTTTCCACTGCTGTATTCTCTCTATTCCATAATCAAACATTTGTTTTCCCTTTAATTTCTAAGAAACGCTTGGTCTGAATCCTGACTCATGGCCAACAGCTCAAAGGACTGAAAAGAGTGTTTCAAACCTGCCATGTCAACACTTCAGCTCCAAGATCTATTTCCCTTCTATTGGTACTCCAGAGTTCTGTTTCAATCCTTTCCTAGTTTGATGCTATATTTTCTAACTATATTATCATCTATACATTAACTACTTCTATGCACAGAACATGGGGGTTTTTTTGCAGTATGCACAGATTTGTATTGTACTGTGGCAGCAACTGAAGATCCCAAAACATCTTCTTGTCATCTTTTATATGCACAAAAAGACAACCATCCTGAACTTAAAATGAATTTATCATTCACAATCTGCCACAATTACATGCCTGTTCAGTACCACTGCCTTTCATTTTCGTATGCCCAAGCAGCATTTGGTCCAGTTCCTCCCAGTATTGCTTCATTATTCCTCTTCAAATATAATTTCTCTTTTTTGCAAACAAGCAAGCTCCTGGCTGCACTCCTGAACAGAAGACAAAATTTCTCTCTGTGTCTCTTCAGTAAAAAGCCTGAACTGCTTCTGAACACAGGAAAAAAAGCATCAAAATCTCAAACCCCAGTTTAACCAAAGGAAAGACACCTGACAGCTATTCCTAAGACTCACCGTTGGTGACCAGTCTTTTTATGTACAGTAGGAATATGGACAAGTGGGATATAAGAATTTAGATTTTGCCATCTTCAGTGCTATCTACAGTGGCTGACTCATGCATGTGCACAAGCGTACACACAGACACACTTCAGTATAGCATTGGTGCTTAACATAGATTCACCTTCCAGTTATGCTGTTGTGAACACTGGGCAGCAACACCACATTAGTTTCGTTAATTTGCTCTGAAAGAGACTTGGAAACAGATCCGTCCAATTAATTCTACAGAGATATTCTAAAAGCAGGCTGGACTCCATTATGTTGCCAGCTAGGGGAGGTTTAGATTGGACATGAGGAAAAATTTCTTTATTGAAAGAGTGGTTAAACATTGGAACAGGCTGCCCAGGGAAGGGGTGGAGTCACCATCCCTGGAAGTATTTAAAAGACGTGTAGATGCGGCACTTCAGGACATGGTTTAGTGGACATGGTGGTGTTGGGCTGACAGTTGGACTCGATGATCTTAGAGGTCTTTTCCAACCTTAATGATTCTATGATTCTATGACTGAAATTTCTCTGTACAAATATTTGCCACTTCAATGGCAAAGTTCTCAAAAAGCAGAATTCCCTGGCAGACATCCTGCAGGCATCTATCTCTGTCCCATGCCCTTCTCACATCCTTGCATCTCTTTCTCTGTATTTCTTATTCCTGGAGACTGAATGCATCCCCTGAATGTAGCTGCTCCGTTTACCACATACAGAAAAGAGTTTTATACACTGGACAGCATGCACACAACTGACACAGCAGTGTAATAAATATGGAAGCACAGTAGCAGATGACCCCCACTGTTTTCCCTCATAATTCTTGTAGTCCAATTAGTGGAGTCCTGAAGTAAATAAGATTTAAAGCCATTCACTGTCTGGCAGCCTCACAGCCCCTCACTATACTCAGTTTAAGACTGCAGGATTTCACGTTTTACTGTAAAATAAGGTTTTAACATAAAAAAGTTCCAAACAAAGCCATTCCCAGTAAAAGGCCTCAGACAAAGAGGTACAGCTATGCTTTTTCTTGCAACAATGGTTTTGCATGACGGTACTGCCATCATATGACTGCAATCAAATATAAGTTTTCCAAGACATCTCTCAACACAATGGTGAGAGTAAAAGCTATGGCACTGTTAATGTGAAAGCAGAGGTATTAAAGGGGTGGAAGAGAAGACTATCTCTTCTGTGACTGGACAGAAGAAACTTTTAAGTTCAATCAAGAAATTGGCAGAGATAGAAAAGGACAATACTACAGCAAAATGCATTATTCAGAAGAGTTGCCTCCCTTCCATACCACATGTGAATTTGATTCTCTTTCCAAGAAAGTGAAAGAAAGGAGATGAAAAGGAGTAATCTAGAAGAGGATTTTGAGTGCCACATCATCTGGACAGAGAGTTATACCTTGGCAGCTGCTTTTTGGACTAGAAATCATGTTAGGCCATTCATTACAAACTAGTCTATGCACTACAAAAAATGAGGGGGGGGCGGAGGATTTAATGAAGATGTCCCTGCTTCCAAGTAAATACGGTATAAATTCCCATAGTCTGCATTTGTTGTACGTTTACAAAGAAGATGATTTCTAAGGGATACGTTCTCTGTGCTATTTAAGGCTGATAGTGCTTTATAACTCAACAGCATCCTATATAACCAGTACATATCACATATGAGGGAACTAAATAATTCATAGTAAGAGGCAGTTCACCTATGATCAAAATGTGAGACCAATCCAGGGACTCTGTTAACATCTTGAAGTAAAGAGAAAACTGCCACGTTATATGAAGTTAAGCTTCTTGGATTCTGCACCAACTTAACAATTAGGGAAGTTCTTTTCAGTGCTGATCCCTGCTGGCACACAGAGAAACATTTAAGAAATCTCGTATTTTACATATATGCTTATTGTTAATATCTGCTGTGTTCCAGGCAGGTATCAGCAAAGCACTATTAAGGTATTTTCACTTCATCAGAATGCCTCATTTCTTGCTTCAACATCAGCTTTGCTAACACCACTGACATTAAGGATGCCTAAGAAGCCCTTATCCCTGGGATAATTCTCTTCCTCTCAGTACAGCACGTTGATCATACCCATCCAGTGATACGTAATTCAGTCTACCTTTCACTGCAGGAGCAAGGGAAAAAGGAAGTATTAGAGTTTGTAGAAGAGATGTCCTGACTACACGTCTTTCTTCCAGAGGGGCTCTTCATTCTAGGAATGAAAATCCCCCTAGTTTGGTCTTTCACATGGTGAGATGGCTTCTTGCACTGCTCCAGCTGGAATAAAAACTCTGTTCAGGCACAGCTGTAAGAAAGACTATCTTGTCTAATTCCAGAGAAGTTACTATTTGAGACTCTTAGGTAACATAGGATGAGAACTGCATTTATTTCTCTAAATCTGTAGTCTTCTGTAACACCCATCTCAACCTCCCTCATCAATGCCACCCATGATTCTATGCATAGCCCATTAGGATTTGCTGTGTAGTGTCCGAAATTTCCACTAAAACTTAATGATGCGCGTTGATGAATGAACCTTCTTTAACACTGACACTTGCACAGCGCTGTCTCTGGCCTGGAATGGTTTGAGACACCCCCATGGGCAAGATTTTCAAGGGTCACTCTAAAGCTGGTGTTCTGACTGGTGTGTTGATGGTACATTCTCATCCAGTCAGGAAGCAGGTCCATGTGTAACAGTGAGCTAAGTAACACTGAAAAGTCCACTGGTTTGGTGGTCATGATGCCAATGGGATATTGTGAGCAGTACTTATGTGTTGCGCACTCCCAGAGATTGTTCCAGTTCTTGCCGGCGCTGCTGGATCTGAAAGAAAAAGAAAAACTGTACAGTTCAGCAGATTCAATTGTTCAGTGGCAGGAAGATTCATTTATAAGCCAGCAGTGTGGAGAATTCCTTCATACCTTGCAATAGAAATATCTGCTCACAGCCTCTTGAGACCATGGCTCATGATAAAATTCAGCTCTGCGTTCTTCCTCTGGGTTTCCAACTACATCAGTCATCACCTGTGACAAAAATAAAAACATTTTTCACTATAGCTCTTCTACCATGTAGAGAAACATTGAGATTTACCTAGAGTCAAAATTTAGCTACATTACTACATTAAAGATGTTCAGGACTGTTCTCGAAGCCCAAGGCAAATGGACAATGAATGGCATGTGTGCTTACTACCAAAACCAGATGGTCGCATACAAACTGAACTGTGAACAGCTCTTAACCTCTGCTCAACTGTGCCAAGGAGTAATTCTGGGCACCAGTAGTTGCCCAGGCTAAGAAGTGCCATGATCTCCAGTAATTTAACAGCATGGACAGTTTAGTTCCAGTGCCCAGGAAAAATTCCCCGGTACTGTATATTTTATTAGCCTATGTATCCAAAGAACCTCAGTAGTTACCCATACACAGGGTTAACAGCTTGAAATTGTTAAGGTATTCACATCAGATTGAAGCACAACTCTGTACCAGTATTGCCCTTATTGCAAAGCATATCTTACCTTGATTTCAAGGAAAGCTCTGATGGGGAAAGCATTAAGGAAAAATAACACTATTGAAATGCGATGAACAGAAAATCCTAGTAATTCCAAAATGGCCAAAGTCCTGAGCTGATTTTTCAGTCTCTACACAGCTGCGGAGAAAGCAAGATTTGAAAAACCAACCAGTTGTTTAAGGAATTAGTGGATGGGACTGCCTGGAAAACTGCCCTTAGGGACAAGGGAGCTGAACAGAGCTGGCAGCTCTTTAAGGACATTTTTCCTCAGAATGAAAGAGCTCTAAATTCCCATGTATAAGAAACTGGGCAAGGAAGGCAGGAGACCAGCATGGCTCAGTAAGGAACCTCCTGGTCAAACTAAAGTGTAAGAAGGAAATGCACAGGCAGTGGAACCAGGGACAAGTATCTTGGGAAGAATATAGGGATGCTGCCCGGTTGTGTAGGGATGGGCTCAGGAAAGCCGAGGCACAGCTAGAGCTGAATTTGGCAAGGGATGTGAAGAATAATAAGAAGGGCTTTTACAGGTACATTGGCCAGAAAAGGAAGATTAAAGAAAATGTACGCCCCCCGCCCCCCGTAAATAAGACAGGAGAACTGGTGACAACCAATATGGAGAAGGTTAATTGACAGGGTTTTTTGCCTCAGTTCTCAATGGTAATCTCTCTTCCCAAATCTCTCAAGCCCCTGAACCTCAAGGGGGAAATAAGTCCCTCCCATCGTAGGAGAAGATCAGGTTTGAGACCATCTGAGGAACCTGAATATACACAAGTCCATGGGACGTGACGAAATGCATGCCAGGATCCTGAGGGTACTGGCTGATGTAGTCACTAAGCCACTCTCCAACATATTTGAAAAGTCACAGCAGTCAGGCAAAGTCCCCAGTGACCGGAAAAAGGGAAACATCACACCCATTTTTAAAAAGGGTAAAAAGGAGGATCCTGGGAACTACCGACCAGTCAGCCTCACCTCTGTGTCCAGTAAGATTATGAAACAGATCCTCCTGGAAGACATGTCGGAACATATGGAAGGCAGGGAGGTGATTAGAGACAGCCAACATGGCTTCACCAAAGGCAAATCGTGCGTGACTAATCTAGTGGCCTTCTACGATGGAGTGACTGCATTGGTGGATAAGGGAAGAGCAACTGATGTTATCACCTGGGTCGGGGCAATCCTCAGTATCAATACAGACAGAAGGATGAACAGATTGAGAGCAGCCCTGCAGAGAAGGATTTGGGGATACTGGTGGACAAAAAATTAGATATGAGTCGGCAATGTGCGCTTGCAGCCCAGAAAGCCAATTGTTTCCTGGGCTGCATCAAAAATGCAGCCAGCAGATCGAGGGAGGGGATTGTGCCCCTCTACTCTGCTCTCATGAGACCCCACCTAGAGCACTGCGTCCAGCTCTGGGGTCCACAGTACAAGAAAGACATGGACCTGTTGGAGCAGGTCCACAGGAGGCCATGAAAATGCTCAGAGGGCTGGAACACCTCTCCTATGAAGAAAAGATGAGAGAGTTGGGGTTGTTCAGCCTGGAGAAGAGAAGGCTCCAGGGAGACCTTATTGCGGCCTTTCAATATTTAAAGGGGGCTTATAAGGAAGATGGAGAGAGACTTTTTACCAAGACCTGTAGTTACAGGACAAGGGGCAATGGTTTTAAACTGAAAGAGGGTAGGTTTAGACTAGATATAAGGAAGACTTTTTTTATGATGAGGGTAGTGAGACACTGGAACAGGTTGTCCAGAGAAGCTGTGGATGCCCCATCCCTGGAAGTGTTCAAGGTCAGGTTGGATGGGGCTTTGAGCAACCTGATCTAGTGAAAGATGTCCCTGTCCGCAGCAGGGGAGTTGGACTAGATGATCTTTGAAGGTTTCTTCCAACCCAAACCACTCTATGATTCTATAAAAAAATAAAATTCTGATGACTAAGTCTCCAGCATCACAGAATCAAGGGTAATTATAACATTATTAGTGTCTTTTGCAGAGTAGTATTGTGTAATCACAATTCTGATGCCAGCAGGGCAGAACACTATAGAAAAGTCCCTCATGGGACTGGTTGTCAGTCAGGGAGAACACTGAACAACTCTTCTATGTATGCAGCTAGAGAAGCTCCACAACGCCTTAGTTTGTAAGCTCTTCAAGCTAAAGGCTGCATTATTTAAACATTCTTTCAGATGCCTGTCCCCTTTTGAATACAATATAAATAATCATAATCTTAACAGTAGATTTTTGGAAGACTACTGACTACAAACTAGACATTTATGTTTGAAACACACAATGATTTTATTAAAATAATTTCATGGATTCATTAATACAACTGGTTTTGAGGTGTCTGAGTTAAAGACACAAAGTGTGAAACTTTATGAGGAAAGATTATTCATTTTTGCTGGCCAACAACTGAACTTCTTTACATTCCATTTCTTGCGTATCTCAAAGCTAAACGCAGAGGCAGCTGATATCTAATCTGCCTATTTCTTAAATAAGATTAAATTATGAACTAACAAAACACACAAATTGTGTTATTGTACTATAGGATGCTCCTGCTGAGTTTTATATAGCTTCAATTTTACAGAGTACACCAACACAGCCCTGCACTTCAATCTTACTGTCTGACCACAAGTTCACCTACCGCCCCCATTAAGCACCACTGTTCTACTGGAAATGGAATACAGGCTAAACTGTCTTTTCTGTATACTGTCTGCTTTGGGTTTGCAGTATGCCACCCACTGTCTGTCTTCCACCAATTTTCCATCCTGGATGTTTTAGCTATACACTCTACATACATTTAGATAAAATTCTTACATTCTGGTTCCACTATTCATTCTTCTTCAAACCTTAGCTCACCTTAAGATCCCTACTTTGGGACCGGAGAAGGTCTTGGATGTATCCTTTGGGATCTTTGGAGAAACTCAGCATGAAATCACGTTGTATTTTTAACTGATTTATTGATTCGATTGTCTCATGAATCTGAGAGAAAAAAACAAAGCAAATGTTACTTAATTCCTCTCATGCTCCAGTGACCCTGAGGTCAGCCCCATTAGCATCTTTGTACTTCTTGTAATGTACAAAGGTGACAATTCTACACTGCAGACTTGTGCAGGTTCCCATGGCTTTTTCCCTTCAAAGAGGGAGTTAACCGCAATCCTGCAATTACATTTTGGTGTCACTTGTACTTCTGCAACACAAGTAGGTACAGGATTCTTCTTCACTTCCTGCGTTGAACTGCTAGATGGCATGCTATATACAATACTGAAGAGCTAAGTCATGTCACTGTACAATGTAGTAATTTCCTGTGTACAATCAGTCTTTCTGCCAAGTCTGGGATTTTTCAGGAAAGGTGCTACATAAATATGTCTTTAAACAGTGCCCAATACAAGAAAGCAGTTATTTCCCTGGTTAATCATCGTCATATCTTCAATACCCTGCTATGATCCTTAAAATTTCTAGTGATTGCCTGATCAAGTCCATGTTAATTGAACTCACATAACAGCTGTGACTTCTAGACTTTTTCTTATGAGAAAGCCTACTAAAGTCACAATGGCTGCAAAAAAGAGGAGTGTGAACAATGAGAAATCAGGATTATGGAAGGTTTATAGAAAATGAATCATAACTTCAGAAATATTATGAAAGAAATGAGCATTAACCAGCGGGGAAGAATGAAGACTCCAAAGAGAAGTCAAGGTCCTATAATCATCCTGGATAACGAAATAAAGTATGATCAATGGGAGGACAGTTAATAAATCATTTGCACATACAGACACAGAAAAGCAAACTTTTGCTACCCTGTTCCTCTAAAATTCTAGTTTGAGATTGTAAACCTATCTTGTTTAATTTCATATATACAGCTATTTTGCCAAAACAGCTAATGTGGCCAGGCACATGGGAGAAAATAATGCTCCCCTGATCTGGCTACACCACCAAGGCCACTAGTATAAGCACAACTATATGGTATGTTAACAGAAGAGAGCTGCTGTCAACTTAAAATCATTCCTTATTTGGGAAAATGATGTAGCCATGCTGGAGAGAAATCTGTTGGCATGCACCAAGTTTCCACTAGAGGACTCTGTGGCAGCACAGCAATAAATGGTACAGATGATAACAATGCAGCAGTCAATGCTTGTTTACCCAGAAGTGACTTCAGTAACTTCACTAATCACAGCTTGCCCTCTGCTGTAGCAAATGCTCAAAAAAGAGGTGATACAGACATGAGAAAAGGTGAGCTGGACTGGAAAAGAATAATCCTTTGCATGCCGCATGCAAGCCTATGTAGGCTGGGAACCAGCTGGCTGAGCAGCTGCCCTGCTGAAAAGGACCTTTTGCAAGAGCCATAAAACAAAAGATGCTGCAACAGTTACCAGAATCCATAGGATTGCTAGTGTCCAAACCCCCTTTAAAATTGCATGAAGACAGAAGTTTAATGTATTTGTTTGTATTAGAGGTAAACAAACAGAAACTGGGCCTGACTGTATGTCACATAAATCATATCTGGTCCACGATGTCTCACCTCTTCTTCTTCCCTTGCTCTGAAAAGCCACTTTTGTTTAGCCCTTACCAAGCCAAATCAGCCATTTACACATGTGCCAAAAGCTAGCTAACAGTCCGCATGACATGAACCCCTAATACAGCCTGCAGAGCTCACCACTGCTATAAGACAGATACTATTATTTGAAGTGTGCATGATCCTCTTTCAGTAACACTGAAAACAAGTCTGCCAAACTGCTCCAAGTGATTTTTCTTCCATACGTTTTCCATATTTGCACCTACTGCAGAGAGATGTGCAACCGTGCATGCACAAAACACATCTGGAGTATAAGATTCTCTTAGCTTTGCCTTATAGCAATTTAGTAAGATACCATGACCTCTCAATAAAAAGTTATAGTCAAACAGTTCCGATGATTCTTGAATGCCAGGGGACTCATTACTACCTGTGAAACTCTGCTTCTATCACCTCGACAACTGTGTCAGGCCCTGGATCAAATCCTAAGTGGGAATGCCACTCCCCCCTCTGTATTCCCATTGCATGTGGCTGATTCATCCCTTGAAAGCACATCCAATTGAGAAGTCCCTGTCTCACAACATTACTGGCTTTGACTTGTGACACCAAACCCACATGAAGGTACACAGTGAGTATATATGCCATGTGATACTTTACTCCTGGGCTAGTACCTTGTTGTCCAATGCTGTAATCTCCTGTTGGTTAGCTGTTGAGAGAAGAAAACTACTCATCTGTCCCTTTAATGGGTCTTCAACTTCTACATCTATGTCATAACAAGCCGTCTTCTTCTGATCGTTGGGGTCAACACTATGGAGAAGACATATAACAGAAGATCATGAGAACTGCCATAATGAATCAGAGTAAATATCCATCCAGCCCAGAATATACTCTTCAATAAAGCCTGTTGCAGATGCTGTGAGAACAGTTTAAGAACAGGGGTATCTTTATATATTTGTATATCCTAGTATATCCTCTGATCTTTCATCAGTCAGAATTCAGAGACTTTTGAGCTGGAGGTTTTGTCCAGACCACCAACTTTAATAGCTTCTAAAGGACATAGTCTTCAGTAAGTTGTCTAACATCTTCCTGAAACCTGTTATAACTCTGGCCTCCAAAGTAATCCCCAGTGGTAAATACCATACTGGTATGGTCTCTGCTCGACTGCATCTTTTTTGAGATAGGGTAGGTAGAACTGTACACTACCATTCTGGATGTGAACACATAAGGACATTTTATTTGGTTCTTGGTTCCTTCTCTAATAATTCCTAGCACTGTAATTGTATTGGCAGCTATGCAGCATTGTAATGATTCCCAGCTACTTTTAAAAGGTAGCAGTGAATTTGGGGACCACCACTTTATTTGTAAAGTTGCCTGCTTAATTCTTCAAAGAATATAGCCAGTCATGCCTTCCTGTTCCAGAAGCTATATTGACTCTTCCCCAATATATCACATGTCTGTTAACTTCATTCTCTACTACAGTTAGTACCAACTGGCTTCCAATATCCAGGATCGGTCCTGGTATGTTTTTGGCATCACACTAACTATTTCCCACCCCTTTGGTACTGGTGGAGATTTCAGTCATTGGTAACACATTGTATAGAATCATAGAATCATTTAGGTTGGAAAAGACCCTTAAGATCATCGAGTCCAACTACAAACCTAACACTGCCAAGTCCACCACTAAACCATGTCCCTAAGTGCCTTGTCTACACGTCTTTTAAATACTTCCAGGGATGGTGACTCCACCACTTCCCTGGGCAGCCTCTTCCAATGCTTGACAACCCTTTTGGTGAAGAAATTCTTCCTAACATCCAAGCTAAACCTCCCCTGGTGCAGCTTGAGGACGTTTCCTCTCGTCCTATCGCTTGTTACTTGGGAGAAGAGACCGACCCCCACCTCGCTACAACCTCCTTTCAGGTATTATTATTATTATTATTATTATTATTATTATTATTATTTCCTTGATGTCAATATGAGCTCTAATAGGGTTTTTTCAATTTGTTACTTAAAAGAGAAAGGAAAATTAGCCGCTGCACTATTCTCCCTCTGTTTCCAAAGCCAGCAGAGACCATTGAGGAATTTGCAGCATTCTGTTTCAGATATCTGTCAACCCCTTTTGCCCCAAAATATGGAACCAGGGTTAAACACGGTCAATGCCATTTCTACTTGGCGTGAGTCTTGGAAACAAGGAGTTAATGCATGCTACAACAGCTATTGCTTTTACTGACAGCATATGTTCATTATGAGATGAACAGTTTAAGCCAACTGAGTACACAGGAACATTAATAGCAAAGGAATGGCTATATTAACTTCAAAAAGCTTACATTAATGCAATGTGAAATTGTACATTTTGTGAGGCTTTCAAGTTCATTTTTTCCAAGTAATTTGTGCACAAAAAGTCTCAGAAACTTTTCAGCAGCTGTGCGGTGCTTAGTTGCTGGCTGGGGTTAAACCACAACAAGCAGTTGGCAAATTGGTTCAGTGGTTGACTACATTCACTCTTAAAAATTGAATGCAAGGGGGCAGGGCAGAGGGTCTGTGAGAGTCTGTTCAAAGCTCAACTGGACTAGGCCTCTAAGCATCCTGATATAATTTGAACCTGCTTTGAGTTGGGAGGGGGGAGCTCTAGGTGACCACCAGCAATCCCTTCTACTATACATTATTCCATGATTTAATGAGTCTAAAAATTACTTACTTCCTTATATTCAGAAATATTTGTTGTCAATATTCTGTAGGAAATCAAATCACTACACTCAATTAACAATAATGTTTAAACACCCAGAATCAGAGTTTTGACCCAAGACCACAAAGGAACTTGGGAAAGACTGAAATGTCTTAACAGCAAGGTTGCAATCCCCAAAAGTCTCTTTATCCCCCTCCCCCCTGCACACAGTCGTCACTTAAATATGGAATGTGCTGGAAGTGCACTAGATAGCTGAAAGTTGTATTTCATCTACTATGCCAGAAATACATCTGTTTTGACAAGGATGCCAGAAGCTCAGTACCTTGGTCACAATGGCCTTCTCTGAATCTAGGCATTCTTTATTGTAAATCTCTTGAGATCTCTGACTAGTTGGCATTCTTAGAATAAGATTAACACCGAAGCAGCTGACCCAAACCCAACAAAGCATGCATGGACTGGCCACTGTATTTGAAACTGTAATACTGTTGTACATTTTACATAATAACTCAGTGATTGGAATGATTGCCCATGATGTACAATATCTTACTTCAATTCCTTTTCTTCCCCTCTAAGTGGATTCAAACTCTCATTCCTCTCCCCTTAGGAAAGAAACCTGACCAACTCTCTCAATGGTATTCTAGTACGGATAAAAATGATAAGAAGTTTTGCACGCTCCTAGAGAATTGGTACCATTCTATTGAAAATAATTCAGAATTATATAGACCAGAATGACACAGAGAATGAACACACAACAAAGTCCAAGGTACTCACCTGGAAGTTGTAAAAACTGGATTCTGGTCCCTGCTACTGTAGCTGTTTCTGTATTTTACAGAGTGAGTGTTTTGCACATGACAGTGCTGAGCTGACTGACCAGCTTACCTGATGATATGGTTTATCACTATAGGGTCTGGTGGCAGCAACAGGTTAGTGAGTCTCTGAGGAATTTCAGAAAACTTTAGCCGTGGACAGTCAAAGATCTGGAATATAATAAAGCATGTTATCCTTGTCCAAAACCTAACTTGCAATTAAATAAGAAAGTAAGAAATCAACAGTTCAAAAGTAAGGTGATTTTGAAAGCTGTAATTCTGGCTCCTTGCACAGAATACATTTTTGGTCACTTCTGTCCCTGCAAATTGCTGGTGAACTTACAATCTGGGCTAGCTGACAGACGCATCAGATGACAATTTCAGGCGTCCCACTTTTGGTTTAGCTGCTGAAGGGCACAGGCTACTTTAATAGGACATCAGGATCAACTGTATGAATGATGGGAGAAAAGTGAACACCTCCTGTCTCACTAAGGGTTTGCAGCAGCATGTCGTAAAGAAAACATTTTTTTTTTTACCAGAGGAAATATAAAAACAGTTTTGCTTTTTTTCCCAAGGCATGTTTCCTGCAATATTTTGTGCTAAAGAAAAATACAAGAAAACATTTTTGGATTTTAAAACTATTTGCATTTTTTTTAAGATTAAGGAAAAAAAAAGTCAACAGGTTTTACTTATTTTTAATCAAAACCTAAACACAGCCTCTTGGAACGGATCCACTCCTTTCCAATCAACATCTCATGGCTACCTTCTCTTTACTATGGTCCAGAAGCTAAATATGTATTGAATTCAGAAAAAAAAATATTTTGAAAAGGATCAAACTCCGTAGTTTTTGAAAATTTTCTGTGAGTAATTGCAATGCGTGGCCATGAATCTAGAACCACTCCTTACACCTGGAGTTTTCAGAAATGTAATTATTACAGCCTTTTTTTCCTACTGGGATTTTTAATGCTCTGAACAGGTGAATAGGCTTTTCTCTAAAGATATTCCATTTAAACAGACTTAAAAAAAACCCCGAACTATCTATATATTAACATTTGACTTAAAACATGCCGTTATGTGGAGGCAATTTGTAAAAATGTTGAGGCCTATGCAAATGCCTCTTAGGGAAACTATTTCCACCTGATAGAAGAGAGATACTACTTGTAGTATTGTGTCTATGAACAGAAACATGCTTTGCAGCTCTAGAGACAAAGGATGCAGGCAGGGTTGAAAAGAATGGACTATCAGGTTAGGTTGTAGAATGGACATACGAAGTCAGACTGTTCAACTAGGATGCTGTGGTTCCTCAGATAGAGTATCTTCTGAAATCCATAATTTTCTGGAGTGAGGGAATTCGGTAGCAGAAATACCTAGAAGCCAGCTCTGGCTTTTGAAATACCTTTGGACCTTTTTTCTTGCTTTTGCTTCTAACACTGTGGATTTCAAATCTCCCAGCTGACGTAAACCGTGTTTCTAAACAGTAAAGGATCCTTCTTCATCAACTCTAAAATCTGTCTAATTTTCTGGACTTACCTGCATCCAGGAATTCAGCCAGCTAGTTTCTAAAGAGCAAGGAAGTAACCAAATCTACTGAGTTTGCAACTCACTCTTTATTTCCCTTCTGAATTCTGACACTTGATAGAGATGACTGTAGAATTCCCACTCAAAATCTTTGCATACCAAGCTCCATCCAATCTGATGTCACCACTGGCTCAACACTCATGTCAAACTCCTAATGTGGATGCCCAAAAGACAAAAGCTTTAAGAAGGGAAAAGGGAGCAAGGACACACAATATTGAGAGAAGGGGTGGGAGACTGGAAACTAAGTCTAGATGGAATTTTCCTAAAGCTTCTCACATTCCTACTCAACTGGAGTTAATGGTCTAAACTTATAACCACTGGCTCTGAAAGTCTATATGGCTACAGTAATTCTGGTGTGTGAGGTAATTCATTCAGTGGTGATTTTTTAGTCTGTACTGTATTGTGTCATTAGATATAACCACAAACACACCAGCATAGGATTTAGAAAAGCTGGCATACCAAATGAGAAGACCAGTATCTAAAAGGGAATGCTAGAGACACTGATGTGTTATGTACTGCTCCCCAAGTGATCTGTGCACTCCTAGCTATGACCATGATTTTTTCCAGGAGTTCCACGCCTAAAACTATATAGTCTACAGAAATATCATCAGACTGGAAGGCATTCCTAACGCAATTCCTTTACCCTCCATATCTCAATCTTAGAGTATTAGGGTGAAAAACAAAAAAACTAATCATGAAATGTTTCATTTGATTTAATGGGATTCATTTTCTAAGTACTAACATCAGTTCTGAAAGCAATATTAGCTACTTAGGACAATTTTGCCAGAGAACTAAGGAAAATGGAAACATTCATATCAATCCCATTTATGATTTAAATCTATGCAAGCACCACATTCTTATTAAACTATTCCAGATTAGCCAGCTCTTGCAGGGAGTGAGGTTCGGTCTCCTAAAAAGGAATCCGCTACTTCACAACGCTCTCATTTGACTAATCTTCTGAGGATGGGAAGACAATTATCAGGTCTGATGGTATTCCTGAAGAATTCTAACACAAAGGAGACCTATGAGCTAATAAGCCTCTGATGAAAATACATGAAGAGAAGATGGCTCCAGCAAGTTCTTATTCTAGGAAAGTTCTTAAGCTGAAAATTAAAATACATAAAAGTGAGAAGGCGCTCCTGCTTACCATAAATAAGGTATGAACTGCTGTACTGGATCAGACAAAGGATCTACAACACATCTACCACACTATTCCGCCCTTGATAGTGGCCAAAAGTGGATACTAAAGGAAAAATGTAAGAACAGGAGGAACATATACTGGTCCTTCCCCCAAAAAACTCTCCCAATCTCCACAGCTTTGCAATTACCTTGCATTTATAACAGCCCAATATTTTTTTTCCATTGGTTTGTCACTTTTGGAGCCTATATGCACTTTTAGCATTTGTAATGTCCTATTGCAAGGAGTTCCACAGTTTAACTATGCTCGATTCCTTTTGTTTAATTTGCTATCTGCCAGTTTCAGTTGATGGCCTCTAATTATTTACCAAAATAAACAGTAATTACTCCTTGTTCACCTTTTCCATTCTGCTCATGATTTTTCAAATCGTTTTCACCTCCTTTTTTCCATTTTCTCTTTGGGCTGGCACAAACAAAATTGAGTCTACGTTGGCTATAGATAAATAGAGAATGGAAATCAAATCATATAAGCAACAGAGCAAACAGCTTTGTCATTTTGCCAAAAATTCTTATGTGGTTTTAAGATGGAATTTTCACTATATATGAAAAAGACTGCATGCTGTAATTCTCAAAAAAAACCCCGAAACAAGAGAGTGACTATATAATCCAAATCACTTTGGTTCTATATTCCTAAAAATACCCATGAATCTCACAATTATCTTGTTGTATTTTGTGTTTTCAAATGTGGAAAAAAACAGTGCTGCCTTTAAGTTTATTTCAAGCACTGGTCACTTTAAACTGTTGTAGGGCAAATTAATAACAGAAAATAAAAGCTTAAAAAGAAAACTAGGACACAGCTTTCATTGCAACGTTTACTTCCAATGCTCACTAAAACATGATTCATTTATTATAACTGCCAGTACTTTCCCTAAACAGGAGTATGTCAGAAACCCTATCTTTGGGTACTTTCAAAATAAATTAGGTAAGCCTGAAGCTACAGAAAAACAAAGTCAATTAAGACAGTGATAGCTCAGATAACATTACCTTTACAAAATAAATATAATCATATTTACAGGAAAGGTGGAGATGCTTTTAAGTGGCCTTCTTGGTTAATTCTAGAGGTCATTGTGAAAGACAAAAAGTCTTAATGTGCTACTTTCAAAACGTCATGCAGATCATTGAGGTTATTCTGTAATCTGAAGCAGACGTAGGAAAAAATAGCTTTTCTAATTATTTCTTCCTTGCTTCCCTTCATAAACAGGGAAAGAGAAGAAAACAGGTCTACATATGATTTGGCAATCAGAATCAGCAGATTATTTCATGTTTCTTAGTACAAAATGATACATTGGGGGGAAAAAACCAGTAAATCAATACAGTGAAACAATTAGAGAAAGTCCTCCTTCCTGGAAAGGCCACAACTTATGTGGGAGTGCTGAACCACCAGATGTGTTTTTTTGACAACATGGAAGGTTTTGACAACATGGGGAATGTTTTGACAACATGGCGAAGGTGCTTATTATATTAGTTGTAGTGACTGTTGAAAGCCATTCAGTACTGAAGACACTGCAAATCATTAAGGGAAGATAAAAATCAGTAATTTTCATCCATCCAAAATTCGCGGATGGATATTATAGTTTGCCTCTAAAGAGCTACTGTGTCCAAAAAGGAGTTACCTGCTGGAAGTACTTGTCGCAGTTAATGTATTCCTTATCATGGGAGTCTTGCAGCTTATTTGTTTTGATGTACTGCCAGAGAGCCTGGATGATGGCTGATCGGGTCTGTGTGTGTATCCCCAGCAAACGGGCTAATCGCGGGTCCAGTTTAAACTGTGGAGGCTGTAACAGAAAGAGAAGAGATGGACATGGCAATAGAGAGAAAAGCAGACAGATACACAGGTATGAAGTTTCAGCTTTAATTCTCGAGGGACTCTGTTCCTCAGGAGAAGCACGCCATTCAATGGCAGAGATTGCAAAAATACAAGTTGCTCAGATGTGTACCACTGTCAGTGCTCTGGAAGAACTATGTCTAGGGTTTGAAAAGAAAGAGGGACACTCTACATCTGCTATGCACACAGACTATCTGTATCACATGCTTTCGAGAATAATAACTTGCATGAAGATTCAGGAAAGAATTTTCCTTTTCAATATTGATGCGTAATTTGACTTTAGGGAGTGGGAGAAGAAAAAGAATGGTCCTTCCTCTGAATTACTGGAGGTTAACCACAGATAGAGAGAATGAAGTCAGGATGATGCTTCTACTGTTGCTAATAACAGTTCAGCTGCCTCACATCAACAAAGTATGTATGTACAGAACCAACTGTATGAGGTTCAACAAGGCCAAGTGCCAGGTCCTGCACTTTGGCCACAACAACCCCATGCAGCGCTACAGGCTGGGGGAAGAGTGGCTGGAAAGCTGCCTGGCGGAAAAGGACCTGGGGGTGCTGGTTGACAGCCGGCTGAACACAAGGTGGCAGTGTGCCCAGGCTGCCAAGAAGGCCAATGGCCTCCTGGCCTGCATCAGAAATAGTGTGGCCAGGAGGAGTAGGGAAGTGATCGTGCCCCTGTACTCGGCACTGGTGAGGCCGCCCCTCGAATACTGTGTTCAGTTTTGGGCCCCTCACTACAAGAAGGATGTTGAGATGTTGGAGCGTGTCCAGAGAAGGGCAACGAGGCTGGGGAGGGGTCTGCACAGCAAGTGTGATGAGGAGCGGCTGAGGGAGCTAGCGTTGTTTAGCCTGGAAAAAAGGAGGCTGAGGGGAGACCTCATCGCTCTCTACAACTACTTGAAAGGAGGCTGTGGCGAGGCGGGTGTTGGTCTCTTCTCCCAAGTAACTGGCAAAAGGACGAGAGGAAATGGCCTCAAAGTTGTGCCAGGGGAGGTTTAGATTGGACGTGAGGAAAAATTTCTTTACTGAAAGAGTGGTTAAACATTGGAACAGGCTGCCCAGGGAAGGGGTGGAGTCACCATCCCTGGAAGTATTTAAAAGACGGGTAGATGAGGCACTTAGGGACATGATTTAGTGGGCATGGTGGTGTTGGGTTGACGGTTGGACTCGATGACCTTGGAGGTCTCTTTCAACCTTAATGATTCTATGATTCTATAAGTACCTTGGAACTCTGTTTTTCGGGCATGTTCCCACCATTCTGCTACATACCAGAAAATTTACCCAACCACAACTAGTCAATGGAAGGTATTTCTAGTCAATGGAAGGTATTTCTTCTCCTGACCTCTGTAATACAACTCTTCAACTACCCTGTTCTGCATCTCTAGTAATATACATTCCTTGGATACCTTGGAATTTGGTGCCTCTTCAAGTGTGTACCCATACTCAAGTTTAATATTTGCCACGTTATTAGGCAAGGGTTACTCTGTTGGGTGCTAGGTCACCCAAAGCTAGCTTTATAACAAATCAAGACTTAAGGATAAGAGCACATCTATTTTAAAGCATAAATTTATAATAATGGTGAGCATAACAAACATCATTATATTGTCTTGACAATAAAGATGCTCACTGGCTATATCAGCATTTCAGTTAGCTCATACGCTCCCTAAAATTAATAAAATTTTCTCTCTGTTAACATAAAATGGAATGTCTTTATCCTGGATAGATGCTATTTGCACGGAGGGGAAAGAGAATGGCACAGAATGAGTTCTTAAAGTTATACAATCAAAATGTATCTGAGACTGAACTACCATTGAAAAGGGAGATCCCATCTCCTCTCAGCAGTGCATTTCTATCAATTTCCTCAAGACAGCAACGTTTCTTTCAGGGATGGTCTCAGTCAGAGTAGTGAGCTCCACAACTGCAAATCTCCATCATTTGTGCCACGAGAATGGAGACTGTGGCAGTGTACACCCACAACTGAAAGCGTTTTTTTGGAGCAGCTTAGCCTTACAACAGCTTAAAACAGTTGGAAACTGTGCTCAGGCACCTCTTTTATATTCTATCCCAAGGCAGAATAACCTGATTTTGCCTATTGGTTGTTTTTGTTTCTGTGACTGGGATCAGGGAACTGATTTGGAAGTAAGTTTTGTTAGCTTTCAAATGGCTCAGTTCCCCGACTTGTTTGTGTTCAGCCCACAAATACTACTAGTACAATAGAACTAATACTGACAAAAG